ACATCGCAACTGCTGCTTCCGTGTTGCGCGGGCACGAAAATACCCGCTCAGGCAACACGTCGGCCTCCAGTTAGAAAGGGAGTCTGAAATCCTTGACTCACGGTTCCAAGGATGTGTTTGTAATCCACATGAGAATGAAGGAACTCCAAGTTCTTCAACTTGGTGACACCACGTGGTTTAATGAACGCTCAGTCTCTCACGCTGCCTCCTTACCCATCTGGAGTAGCATAAAACGGTTTTGCAGCTAAATGTTGTTTAAATAAAGCAATTTTCAGGGCAGGATTTCTGTCTCTAGCTCTTCAGACATGTTGAGTTGTTAGAAAGGGAGGGTTGTCGTGATGTGGAAAGCCAGTACTTGGCTGGTTCGCCTCGAAAGAAATGTTACCAATTGCTTGTGTGTAAGACTGAAATACTGAAAGAGAACTATGTAACCCTGCCGTGTCAAATCTGTGAGAAGCCTGGCGCTGGCTTCCCCAACACTTCTGCAATCTGAACCAAAAAAAAAAAAAAAAAAACTGCTATGGGAATGTAGACACTACTCAATAGCTATGGAAGGAAACGTCAATCATGCCGTTTCTCTCGGTCTTCAGAGCAGTCAAAATGATTTTGCTGTAGGTTCTAGATTATGTATATAAATCTGATTGAAGTACCATCAGCAAACCTTAAATAAAATGTGGACTTAACTGAAGAACGGGCTAGTGGAGGAGTTTTGTGTTGAATGTATTGCATTGCAATGTGGTGGAGTCATTGATGAAGGAAATGCCCTATGATGAAGACTGGGATGATGAAGCTGGGATACTCCAAGCCCGGAAACACAGCCGGGCTCTCCATTGCCTTTGACTGTCTCTTAGCTCTGTAAAGACCAACTCCTGATTGCAGCGTTCTCATTGCAGAAGAGCCGGCTGCAAGGAACTGCTCCTGGGGGTTGCTGGATCCTCTGGCCCACGGAGGGCCAAAGGCCCTGCTAAAACCCGGCCTTCTGTGTTACCAAGCAGTTATTCCAGGAGCGGGCGTCCTTTTGCACTCATGGGTGCCAAGAAGCTCACAGAGGTTGATGAAGAGTTGGTGGATGAAGAATGACTATCAATTTGTGGTCTTAAATAAAAAATAAAATGAAGCGAGACGCCGGGGAGGTAGGTAACACCGGAGTTGCTGTAACCTCTCCGCTCCCTTTGAGGTAACCTGCCTACGTGTGCGTGACTATGAACTCTCTGGACATGGGCATGTTAGTAAAAGTAAGAGTTAAGGATAAATTTTGCATGCATTTGAGTGTATTGCTGCCGCTTGAGAGTTTCTTATAAAGGGAGAGAGGAAAGCTTTTGAGTGAGTCAGGTCACAACTCCCACGGATGTTTTCCATCCTTATGCTTCTCCCTGAGGATTCGTTAGTGCTGAAGGGGAGAAGGGGGAGCCAAGTTTTAATTTAACTTGTATGGAGAGCATAAAATATCAAATGAGTTATTGATCAGCCAACTCCTTGAAACTCTTCAGAATTTGGGCTCCCGCTGCTTTTACATTAGTTGAAAATACAGCCCAAAGTGTTTTTTTTCAGTTTTGACATTTGCTTGCCTAGTAACTTCAACGCAACAAAAGCAGCACAATTTTGTTGCTAAAGCTTTTCCTCTTTTTCAAAAATTTTCTGGATATATATGTTTTGACCCTTTTTACTGCCTCCTATGGCTTTTCTTGCGCTTCTCATCATGTTTCCCCCCCATCAGCATGCGGCAGGCTGAGGATCCTCTGCACCGCAGCGAGCCTCCTGGTTTGTGGGAGCTGGGGGGGCAGCTGATTTTCAGGCACCCTGGCAAGATGGTGGCATCGGCAGCCTTGCCCACGCGTGGGTGAAGTCTTGCTCCCACCACGTGCGCGTTGGAGCGAGTTAGACCGATGCACCAGGTGCCTGTGCAGGTGTCCCCGGGCTACTGCTGCTGCCGGAGCAGCGCATCGGGAAAGGATAGTAATGGGGGTAGCATATTGTGATGAGAGTTCACAACATGTGTCTGTGCTTAGGATGTAGTATTTCACAATATGCTCTTCAAAATGCACAAAAATATTATTTGGTCTTTCAGGGAGGCAGAATCTGAAGCACTTCCTGCTACGTCCTGCTGAGGACTTCAGTGCTTCCCTGGTATGTATCTTTTTTTCCTCTTTTCTCTTAGAAAGTAAAGTTTTATACTGGAAATAAACCACTGAAGCTCCTGGGGAAAAAACAACAACAACAATATTAACATATTTCCTCCAAAACCCAGGTTGCTGGACTTCAAGGTTTCTGATGTCCCACTTTTTTTCATTTTAATAATCATAACTGCAAGTTTTAAGCTTGATTTTTTATGCAGTACTAATCTTCTGCATGCAGCACTCACTCATGGATATTCAGGATAAAAACTATATAAGTAAATCCAACTGTGTCATCTTCCATGCTATTAGTAACAGCTGATCTGAGCAAGAGGATGCTGCATATAATGTACGTTTTAAATGCAATTACTCGGAGTGAAGATGCGAACATATGGGGAGGCATAAGGGCTAGGAGGATCACAGGGTACAATGGGAGGATGCTGCAGGTTTTCTGATAGATGGGGTTTGTATTCGTTTCGCTAGCTTACATGCTACAGTGTTTTTTGTAGTAAAGCTACTTCTTATAAAGCTGGGATCACACAGTTACAGAAAGGCATTGGCTACAGGAAGATGGAAAGGGCTTCCTTGCCTTTCCCTTCTGCCCTGAAAAGGCAGCAGAAGCTTCTCCAATGTCCTCATAAGCCCTTGAGACTCCTTGTGCTACACGTTGTGTTGGGCTCTAATAGCTTATGGGAGGGAAATGTGCTTCTCCACATGCAGTGGGGAGTATCCCTTTCCTCCTGCTCAGTCTGAGAGAGGGACCCTATTCCAGTTTTTATTTATGCTGTTTTCTTCATAGCACAATAAAATTACCTGCAAATCCTGGAATCAGTTCCAGATCTTTATGGAAGAGAGAAGACCTTAAAGTGTATAGGTAGGAAGCTACTGTTTCATTAATCTGCGTTTCCCCACCTCTCCATCATGCACCGAGAGGCTTTGCCCAAAGCCACTAGCGCCAAGGGGATTCCCCCTGACTCCCTGGTGCTGGTGTTTGGGTCTTTTCCAGATGGTCTTTTCCAAAGGAGCTGTTAGAACACACTGTGCATATTCAGGCCTGTAAAATACAGGCAGAAAAATGGTATCTGCTGCAACTTGGAGGCTTGTAACTATTATGACAGTTTCTTGTTACCTGGGTCAAGAGCCAGTTGTTCCCGAATTTGGAGTGGGAGGGGATGTGTCTTCTAAAATCCTCAGCAAACAAATGTATGAATTTAAAGTGAAATTTAGCATTGCTCCTTATATATTTACATTAAATGGATCTGTAGCTGCCTTGAGCCCCATAATGTGGCATGTATTTGTTTGTGCAATTATCCCATACCTATTACCTTAGCACACAGATTTTCAGCCTGTTGGCTGTGGACTCCTGACAGTCTGTGGCTGCTCAGGACTCCAGGGCAGGCATAAACGGCGCCAGGAAGAACACATACCTTCCCTAGAAAATGTAGGGATCAACAAACACAGGCATGGCTGAAAACCAGGGTTTCTATCAGTTATTTAAGTGTGTTTGATCTAAATGACTTTGTGACTTTTATCTCCTCCCATTTCCTCCCTGAAAAGTTCTTTTTCTGCCACACAGCTCTCCTTGCAGCGCACGCCGCTGTTACGATGCTCTAGCTCTGCTACCTCCATGACCGCAGCCCGGCGGGCTCTGCTCTGCTCTGCTCAACCAGCTGCCCGCAGCCTTAGTCAGCCCTTAGCCAAGGTGCCAGACTTCCTCGCGCCCCAAACCTGTGAGCTTCCCCATGGGAACACCTCCGAGTTTGCGCTTGCATGACCTGCCCCCTCCTCCAAAGCCTCTTCTGCTGCACAGCAGCTCTGGCCACTTCAACCCTGATCATTTAATTGCTTTAAGTCAATGGGCCTTCTTAAGGAACAGT